TAGTTAATTGCCATTTCTCATCAACTTGATACACAGATATCTCCAAATGCTCTCTACTAATTTTACCTTCAAACTCATTCCCCGGTGAAGTCCACAATTGTTTCTCATAAGAGTTACTATAGCTATTGTGAATCATATAGTCACTTAATTCCTGAGCCTCTAACCTTAATTTCTTCTCTGGCTGCAAGGGTCATACTAAATACAAAACTCCCTTTTCAAATTGTTTATGATACTTCAAGAGCATTTGATACCCTTGGCCACTTCCTCTGGCTGAAAAATGTTGCTATTTTGATTTCTATGACCTTGCACTCTGCTGGTGTTCTTTTTGAACTCTTATCCAGACACTCTTTGTAGTGACATTGCCAGACATTCCTGTACTAGTTGACAAGGAAATGCTTCAGGTTCTCAGAGTACAAGAGTGGACACATTTCTCTTCTCTGCTTCTGTAGATAAGTGCATTACTCCACAGCTGGCATACGATTTTCTCACTTGGGCTAGGTATCCTCATCATATAAGCCTTCTGTCTTTTAGCGTATTTCACAGATTTTCTGTATAGGAAATGCTAGTTCCCTCAAATGTGTTCCCTTTTTCCTGTCTCATCAACTAAAAGTGACCTTTAGCCTGTATTCAAGCCTGAAACCTGAGTCAACACCTGTTGCACATTCCTCACCGTTTCCTACATCCCTCATCTTCCAAAAGAAAAAATAGAGAACCATTTCATTATGCTATAAAATAATCATTGGTATCATTAAAACTTTTCTTTGTGAGCATTACTGAATACAATTAGAAAAACTTTGACCATTGGCATTATTATACCTAGACAACTGATCTAATGATCAAGGCACTTAATGACAACTAAATAATTTTTATGAATAGGGAATGTTATACACTTCTTGATGTCAAAAATTAAAAAAAATTACCAATATCTATAAGTTGATACAAGTTAACAACACAATGAAGCCCAATATTTTATTAAGCAAATAAATGATAAATGTATACATCAAACCTCAAAGGCTGTAAGGTATTCTCACATTAAACTGCTGGGAAAAAGTAAGGGTCAAAATTCACTATGTAGCTACAGCAAAATATGTCATATATTTAAGGACTCTTAACCCTTACTGAGTGAAATGGAATAATGGAGCAAATTAAAAGATAAGAGGATATTTTATACAGCTCGAAGTGAAATGCACTTCCTATTTTTTTCTGTTTCAAAACAACATACAGTATCGTGAATCTTTATGTGTTCTTCATCACGGGGTCCTTAGATCCAAAGAGATGCTTGTGTCAAATACATCCTCCTCAGGTTGTTAATAACCTTTTATAAAATAGATGTAAATTTGCACGTTACTTATTTTGAAAGATCTGAATTGTGCACATCGGTTTGCCAACCTCTCTCCTCACGCTGTTTCTAGGGCATTTTGTGCGTGCGTGCGTGTGTGTGTGTGTGTGTGTGTGTGTGTGTGTGTGTGTGTGTGCTTAGGCAATTCTTGGTCTTCATTTGCCCTTTTCAATCTAGCGAATGCCCTTCCTTAGCACAGGACGACGATCATTCAGTGGTTCACCCTTGAATCTATAACTCCCAGCATTTCCTCTCCTGCACACTGGGCTGCTCAGTGTGCACCCCACTGAGCACAGAAGGCAATGTGTAACATTTGTCCAACTGTAGGATGGCATGTGCATGCTGATTATAATTGACTGGTAAAAAAAATGGGACATTCACCTTTATACATCTTTAGTAGCTTACTGTATTAAAATACACTTGATCTACTGAATTGAATTTTTTTATTTTCCCACTTTGTATGTTATTCTTACAGCACCGACCCAGTTTTGTTCTTTTTTATTTTTTTAAGTGAAATTGTTTTGATGTGTTTTAGCTGAAATAGGATTACATCATCCCCCTACCCATTTTCCTCCCTCCAGCTCGACCGAGCTACTTATGTTCCTGATGCATTTACCCAGTAAGTAGTTGTTAATTAGCACTATTTATCATTTGAAAATCCCTGGAACTATTAGCAACTGGTTCACATTATTATTTTTTTAAGAACTGGCCGTTGAACCAGCTTCCAATATTTTCTGCATTCATTTCTTCTACTGCTTTACCTCTTTTCTGTGTTTCAGCCTAGTTGAGTATGCTGGCTGTTCTTGTTTTTTCTTTCCCGTGTGAAGGTACCAATTTTTTTTCTAATATTCTGAGTGTCCAGGTCCTTCGAGTATATATCATGACTTCCAGATTTGCATTTTCATGAAATTCCTGAGTGTGCCCCTGTATCTGTTTCTTATGCTTTTCCTGAGCTTGCTTCCTTCTGTTTGATATTATCGTCCTATTTGGTCGTGTCACGTTATAGTCTATTGTCGTCCTATAGAAGCAAGCCTGTTTGTTTTCTAATTAGAGACAGAAAACGGTGGGTGAGGGCCGGAGGAGGGGTGAGGAGGAACTGGAGTAGCAGAGGGGAAAATGTTATTAGGATACATTATATAAAGAATGACTATTTTTAATAAAAGGAAATTAGAAAAGGACACAGTTTCTTGAAAAAAATTGTCAGAACATCCGTGTGCCAGGCTCAAAGTAATAGAGCTTCAGACACATGACAGGCAGGTCAGATCGGACATTTTGCCTTCAGATATCTAACAATCTGCAAGAGAGTGACAAAATGTACTTAATATTTATAAGCAGCATGCGTTTTCTAAGTAGGAATTTAAATACAGATGTTGTGAACAGCCCTAGAGAAGGGTGTCCTGAGTTGGTCAGGCAATATTAAGGTAAAGCTGTGGATACCAGGACACGTAGCAAAGATATAACTTCACAGGTTAATTTAAAATATCCTTGTGTATTGAATTATTATACAGCTGAAAAACCATATATTTCCTCTGAGGACAGCTTTAACCTAGGCATTTTAATTCATATTAAGAGTCAAAATGCTCCTTTTCCCTTACAAGACTTTAAAGATGAAATCAATTAATGTGAAAATAATGGGAAATAACAAGAAATATTAATCTGAAATAGCTCGGAGAGACTGGAGGGAGGAGGGGGAGGGAATGAAGTAATTCTACTTAAATGAAAACATTTTAAAATGAAATGATTTTAATTAAAAATAAAAAGGAATATAAATAGGTCTGTGCTGTAGAAGTAAAACATTAAAGCAAAAGTGAAGCTACTGTTGGCATATAAAAAGAATCAGGGAATCTCTCCCTGCTAGAGTACCCGAGCATCGCAGAGATGGCCTCGGAAACTGAGCATCTGCTGTTTCCCGACGGGTCCAGCTCTGTTTCTTAAGGACTTTTCAAAAAACACTTGGAAAACCCTCCTTTCTTTTAATCTACAAGCCAATATGGAAATGCAAAAAAGTCATAGTGTTTCCTCCCTGTGTCCCCGGGCTGCTGCAACTATAGGGCCAGGTGTCGTGAGTTAAATACTCCATATCTGCAAAGCTTCCTCCTCTATGGCTAGCTGTCTCCAAGACAACACAGTTGGAGAGCAGCCCTGCTCTTGTGCCTGTCTGGAATCAGCTCCTTGTTTCTCACAGTCCTATTCCTCTGCAAAAGGTTTGGCCAGGATGCCAGTGTCAGTAATATAGAATATATGCATCTCTTTATCCATGCAATTACAGCAGAGGAAACCTAACCTTTTTTTAAATAAGTACGACATCTAACAACAGATCTCCATGAGGAAGTACACTGAAAGCCAGGCCGCCTGCATTAGGGTTATCGCCAATGTCCAAGTGCTCTCCACTGTCACTCCTGTAAAAGACTATGGGGACAACTAAATGGGATAGACTAAATTTTCACAGACACTGGGGTTTATGCACATTTTCATTCCCTGCTCCACCAGTTAGATCATGCCCCTGAGTGCTATTGGTTCTGTACTCCAACACACTGAATGGAACTCTTTCACACGGATAGGACTCTTTACTTTTTTAAAAAATACGCTGCGACGGATGCTCCCCCTCATCTGCCTTCTCCAGAAAAGGCTTCTCATTTTGGCTAGATGCCTTTTCCTACCTGACCTCTAAAGGATGTCTAATCTCATTAAGGCCTCTTTTCTCCCTCTTTCTCCCCCGACCAAAAGCCTCCCTATTGATTTTCTCCCCTGTTAGTGCTTTTTGTTTGCTGTGACTCCCATTCCAGCCACCCTCTCCTCACCCACTGTCCCCTGCAACTGATGAACTGCCGAGCCACAAAGGTGACCGTGTCGCTGGAGGCAACTTCCTAAACCCAACTACTCCACCATTCCGTAAATGTCGTGGCTCTTACTGATACCACTGCCATAAAAGCTCCCCTCATCTTCATCGTCCCCCTGGAAGGATTATGTTTCAGATCTTGTCTTCAGCCGGCAGCATGTTAGGGACTTGATTAGGTTGTCAATTCTTTCTGCAACTAAGTTCCCTAATTTATACACCCAGAAGCCTATTTTCCTGTAACAAAAACTTTTGGAATTAATAAAAACAATTAAATCCTCTGTGTATGCCGCAGGGAGGCAAGAGTGCTCATGTGTGTGGTGGCCGTGGGGACTCCAGCATAACCTCTATGATTTTTAGGATAGTTCATTACCAACCCTCTTTACACATTTCTTCCTCCATGCTGATACAGGAACCTCCTGCCTCTTATGGATAGGGGAAGGAAAAATGCATATAATGGATTTAGTAACGATGTTTCATTAAGTGCCCACCAAAAACTACTGAAAATAAAAAACAGGAACAGGGCAGTCACTTCATAATACCTCTTATTATCCCCATGTGATGTGCTAATGCACTTTTCTTTAAATCTTGTACCCTTTATATGTCGAAGTCTTTGAAGTGTCCCCAGTTTGATTAAAATAAAGCTGCAACCCTGAGTGGTCATGGGTAGTGGTTTTCCACGCTGTGTTAGGTGAACACCGTGTTTGTCCACGCTGTACATGGGAGAATCTCCCTCATTCCCTCCCATTCCCCTTCTCCTCCCTCACCCCCGACCCTTTCAAGAAAAAAATAAATGTCCCGCAAAGAAACCATTCCACAAGGATCTTTAATGCTCACTTCAAAGTTTTATTTATGGTGGGGGTGGGTTGTACACATGTTTGGTAAAGTGTGTGCTGCGTGCCTACACAGAGAACATTCCAGTTCAAAATCAGTCCAGTCCACATGGATGCTTCCTGCGCCCAGTCCAGGTCGCATGGAGAGGGGGCCTTGACCTTTCCCTTGGTCAGGTCCTGCTGACTTCTCCAGGGCCTTTATGTGGATACAGATCATCACTCCCATACAGAGAACAGGTACATAACATCTCAATGTATTTCACAGGTTCAGCACAGCACATCTCTTGTACAAAAATCCAGGAAATCACAAGAGTGAGAGCACCCACTTGCTTACTTATGAACGCACATGCTTGCATCATAAACAAGCTCTGAGCGAGCGCAGATGAACACATTGCATGAAAAGGTATAAACAGCACTGTAAGGGAAAATTTAAAAAGTTACACATGAAATACTGCACTGGGAATGTGGGATGCTCTAAGGACCCAACCCCACCCTTACACAGCCCTAGTATGGGTCAGAAGCTGTTGACATGCTGGGGACCATACTAGTCCTCAGAGACACTGCTGCGGGGGCAGTGGGCGGCAAGATTCGCCTCCCGCAGAGCTCTGGCCTGCTCCAGAGCCTCTCTGTATCGGGAGGGCCAAGCCTGGGGATCCTTCTTGAAGACCCTGGCCAGGAACTCCATGATCTGCATCTTGGTGATTTCACGGTTGGCTCTGGACCCCCAGAAGAACTCGTACTCGGGGGGCTCGACGTGGGGCACGCGCTGGTACTTCAGGTAATTCTGCTGGACGAACTCCTCGGTGATTATCTTCCTCACATCTCCAAAGGTGGGGTGCTTCTTCCAAGGCCTCAGTCCCAGGATGCGCAGCACATTCCAGACCGCGCCCTCTCTGGCCCCGCGGCCCTTCACGTAGATGAGGCTCAGGATCATGAGCAGGAGGCCTGTCATGGGCATTCGGTTGTTCAGCGCCACTCTGTCCAGATCCGCTGGGCTGAGGGCTTTGACCAGGGCAAACTCCATAGTATGGATATTGGTCAGCCTCAGGTGCAGCCCAAAAACTCTGGCAAGGATGAGGCTGGTGCGCCGGAGGATGCTTCTGCACCATTTCTTGTAGCTGCCCATGACATCTTTCACCATGTCTGGGAACCAGAGGACCATCCTCTTCTGGTCCTTGACCAACACGTACCACATGAGCTCGTGCGCCTTCTGCACCAGCTGGGCCGGGGCGGGTGGTGCGGGCATCGGACGGGCCGGGCTCTGGGGCTGGTGGGCGCGCCCCTCCTCTATGGCCTGCTGCAGGATCTTAGGGTCAATATCTTCCAACCTTTCTGGAGGTGGCGGCGAGGCCTGCGGGGCTTCCATAGGGCCTTCAGGAGCGATTGGTGCCTCTGCGACGATCGCGGCTGGAGACGTGGGAGGAGGGACCCCCGCCGGAATCTCAGAGCCGCTCTGCAGCTCACCGTTGGAGGCCTCGGCTGCAAAGTTGGGGTCGCTCATGTCCTTACTTTGTTCCGACATGTCTGCGCCCGTCTGATCAGAGCAGGACCGCTGCGACTTGGAGCTCTTGGAAGCCGCACTCCCTCAGTGGACACCAGCAGAGGAAGTGCGCTTTACTGAGCGCTGTGCCTTCCGCAGCAGCGGCCGGGCGGGGCGAACCTGACACTGCGCATGCGTGTTGGCAAGCCAGAAGGGTGGTAGGGCTGGAGAGGAGCTGATGCAAAGCCCAACCGCTGGGCTCTGAGGGAGGAGGATACCACTAAACTACTGGGGAAGGGCCAGAGAGAGAGATGATGATGATGATGATGATGATGGGGCGGGGGGATGAGCAAGTTTAAGTAGAAAGATGTAGCTGAGGTGGTGAAGTCAAGTTAGGACACTTTGGATTTTTTTTTATTTATGTGTGAAAGGGGGAGGCTGGCCAGTGAGCTTGGGTTTTCTACAGAAGAGTGAGACAGTAATGGGTTTTTGAGAAAGTGTGAGCATTGTGAAGATGATGTGACGTTTAAGACTGGAATGCCGAAAACTTACTAGAGTAAATGTTTACCAAATCCGAGTGCAGATCCAACAAGGAGGCGTATAAAGCCTAGCTGCAGACACTGGAGATCAGTCTATGTGGAATTTGAATGCTTTGGAAGTGATAGAATGATGTAGCACAATCGGTGTGGGTTTAAACTTTTCGGTTGGGAAGATAATCGGCTCAGTCCATGGGTAAGAGCATTTGTAGTGCTAGAGTGAGAACCTAGGTTCAAATGCCCATGACTCGCACTGAGATGCATAATTGGGAGAGTTACAGGGGTTCTCCAGAAGCCAGTCTTAAGTTTAGTTTCAGCGAGACATCTTGTCTCAAAGGGGTAGGGTAGAGAAGGATAGAGCAGGATACACAACACCCTTCTCAGAAATTTGCATGCATTTCCGCAATACACACATATAATTGACACAAGTGAGAGTTTGTCTCAATGCACAAGCACGATATGCAGTAAGCAAACACGTACATCACCTCAAACTTTAGGAATACTTGAAATTCCTTTTCCTACCTACTTAAATATGGATATCCATTGTACTTTGTTGTAGTACATTACAGAATATTGTTCCTAACTATATTCTTGTCTCAGAAGGCAATCCATCTCCTCCATGTTCCTTTCACAGCCTTTGGTAATCAACTTTCTACTCTCTACTTATTTGATGCCAAGTATTCCTCATCCCCAAAATGTAGGGGATCGGGAAGCATCTGACTATGTGTAACCCTTTTCACTTCACACAATGCCATCAAGTTCATACATGTTGTCACAACTAATAAACAGTAGTCTATTTATTGTACATGAGGTATCAAGTTAGGTTTGAGGATGGTATATATATTATATATGTAAATATTATGTATATACACATATGTGTGTGTTAACACATGCTTTCATATACTTGCACATGCATATATAATAGTTTATCCATTCACTGATCACTGGATATTTAGCTAGTTGATTTACAATTGTTTTAGTATCTATAGACTTTGGCTTCCCATATTTATTGGGTCACTTTGATTTCATTTATATTTTCCCTTAAGATACTAGAGGAATTTTATGATAGTGTATTTTTCATGTTACCACAGTGCCCTTCTTCGTTTGATTAATATTGCTACATCCTCTGAGTTTATAGAAAATGTTCAACCCCTCATAGTGGGTTGTCAGCTGAAGACTAGTTCCATGTTGGGAGCACAGCTAAATCCTTCCCCAAATCTATTAAATGCAGGTTTCATTGATAAGTCTCTCATAAATGAGGTGAAGCATATTGGTGACCATTTCCAGAGTAAAATAAAAAAAGATTGAGAGAAGAAAATCAGAAACTAACAACACTTCAGCCTATCCTATATGCTATGGCCACTGGCGAATCCCCCAAACCAGGAGTCCTTATATTTGGTCATCCTCCTTGCTCTGGAACAATGCCACTCATTAGCCTTCCCTTGATTTCCTTAAGTTTAAAGCATCTTAAACATTCTCTATTGAGACTTAATATTTTCACTTGAAAGATAAGTATTTAAGACATTGTGTTGGCATTTCTAGGTTCCACAATGTGTTTATTTAGACTGGGTGGATATCATCTACCCAAAATATTTATGACAAGAAGTGTTTCGGAGTTTTCAGACTTCAGGATATTTGTATATGCACAACAATGTGTTATGAAATCAAGTCTAAACACGAGATTGGCTGGTTTTATACTCACTTTACATACATAGTCTGAAGGCAATATTTTGTGACAGTGTTAGTAGACTTTGTGTGTTTGTTGTGATCTACTCTATGAGGTCTGATGTGGAATTTTTCACTTTTGATATCTTGTGTATCTTTGAAATATTTCAGACTGAATAGTGTTTGTGATTTCAATTTTTGGAGTAAGAGTGCTCAAGTTTGCTTATGCTCATTTCATAATTTTGTTTTTCCCCAAGTAAGTTGATTTTGAAGGGTTTTCTCTGCTATTTCAGTTTGTTTATATACATATTTTATTTAAAATATAGGGATTAATAGATTCATGAAAGCAAGTCATGAGTTGGAGTGGCAGCATTTTTGAAGTTGGTTCTTGTTGAGGTAGGATACCAGCTATGTGACCAGAGAATGACTTAGGCTTCAGCAGTTGTCTAGTTTGAGCTGCATATTTGGGTTCCTATCTTCAGCTCACTCTAATGAAGTTGTTAGCATGGTAGCAGACAGCATCTCTGCTTAAGCTCATATCTTGCATTCCTACTGATAAGAATGTTGCTTGGTGCTGAACCACAGTCCATAGTTTAGGACCACACTGAGACATGGTGCTTCAAGAGTTTCAAGCCTCAGAATTAATGCTCAAATTGAAATGAGTCCAGTGTAAACTGTGGTGACAATTACCCTCAGAGCTCTGAGGCATCTTTTCAGATATGGTCTTTCTGAGGAGGATCAATCTGCTACCAAAGAGAAAAGAGGAAGAAAGTTTAGGATAGCCTTTAAGCAGAGAACACAGACTTTAAGTAGAGAGCACATCTATTCTGAAAGCTTGGGGGGTGGATAGCTACATAATACATAACTTACATCTATAGAGAGTAGCAGATACTATAAACAATAATGAAAACAGAAATAACATTAGGGAAGGAGAAGAATCCAGTACCTGTGTAGTGTTCATGAGTACTACACAGATACTGAGCCTGGAGCTCCAAAGATATTTGGAGAGTATTGGGAATAAGTAAGTCTGGCTGGACATCTCTACAGGTAAGAAGCAATCTCACCAGAGGCTTAGGACCCAAAGGAGGAAACTTACACCAATGGCTCCCAGAAAAGGTTCAGGAAGAAATGTATTGAGAATCTGGAGACATTATGTTTTCAGATCTTTTGGAAAAGGCAGTTTTTCCAATGGGTTACTTCAGACTGTAAAATATGGAACAGATTATACAGCTGTGGAAAAGGCTGTTCTTGGCAGACTCCACAGAAGAGGCCCGTTCTGGCATTGGCTTCCACAGAGAAGCTGAGGAAGGGGGGTCTCCCTGGGACCTCCTGAGGACACTATGCATGCTCTTAGGGTGGGGCCCTTGGATGAAACATGATTTTTTCCTGGCTGTTTCCTGTCCACATAGGCAGTGAGTGACCTTTCTCTTGAAGCCCCCAGATGGGCCCCACATGCCTTTTCAAGCCAAGAAACTGAAACAGAGAACTCATTTTAATACTTTCAGCAAACATTATTGAGTAATGTCTGTCTTAGTTTTAAAATTTGCATTTGTGAAAAGTAGCTCCGTCTTGTAGAGAAACCAGTGACATTAGGATGACTGGGCAGCTATACCCATTTTTTTGTTAGAAAAGAATATGAATCAAGCATAGAAAACTGAATTCCATGATTGGAGGGAGGAGCAAAGGCCAGTGTCTAACCTGTCATCCTTTGGATATTCCCCAGAGGCTTGGAATTCAAGTTTGCTAGTTGTGACAGCAGTCACACTCATACAAACTGGTCATTTCAGCTCTGTTGACACCAACAATTCAGCAAGCTGATGCACAGAGATTACAAGGGTCCAGAGTATGTCTTAAATGGTCGCCTGGACACAGATAGAGTTAAGACTGGATCAAGGGATACAGAAGAAATGGAGTGGGGGGTTTCTGAGAAGGCAAGTCATTTGCCACTCCCTTTATAACTACAGGGTGGGTGTTTGCCTGGGATAGAATACATAAAATGTACAGGGAGGGAGAATGGCAAGGAAATCATACATAAAAAGTAATAATAAAGCAACGATTATTTTGATGTGTATTGCCAAGGAGCTGCGATTTTGCCACCTAGCGTGGGACAAATGTAAAGAATGATCAGTAGGGATGCCAAGGAAGAGGTATTCACTGGGGAATAACAGGAATGTATTTCAAAGGTGGGTCTGAATAAGCATTGCTGTGTGATCATGCTATGCAGGAGGAGCATTTTGGAAATCTATGCAGACAGAAGGGCTCACAATTCCTGGCAGCACAAAGTTGACATGCCTGGGATAAGCTTGCACAAATCTAGCTGTGATGGCATGTGTCTCAGTCTCAGGACTCCATAACAGAGTCAGGATGATCGTGAGTTCAAGGACAGCTGTAGCTAAATAGTGATGTGTTATCACCTTTTATAACCCCTAAACACACACACACACACACGCACACACACACACACACACACACACACATCTGGATAAAAGCTTATCGTAAATATATCTTGGTTGAAGTGAGAAATTCTGGGGGCAAAAAGGTAAGTGTTACCATCATTACAGTTTCTAGGGTCAGATATTTTATAGTGAATAGTCCTGGCATAGAAGGATCATTTTTGTGGTTCAACAGTACAATGCACACCCCAGTAATCCACACCTACCCTCATTGAGAAAACCAGAAGGAAGGCAGAAAAATCAAAATGACACTTTTCTCACACTGCAAAATGTTTTTTTTTCTGCAGTCTAGTTCCCCAGTTGAAAACCACTGGAAAGGAGAAAAAAAAGAGAGAGAGAAAGGAGGAGGGAAAAGACAGCTATGTCAACAGTTCCAGGTAATTTAACCATCTTTCCAAACTAGCACACTATATTCCCCCCAGATCTATTTTGGGGCACATGAAAACAGGATTCTTTATGTTAAAACTATGTCTCTAAAACATTATATTCACCATACTTTGGCTTCAGGACTGTAGTGTATCACAC